TTCTGTGAAGTGTGTGTGTCTGGCGGGGGTGGGGTGTTTGGAGTTGGGTGAGAGGAGAGGGAATGAAGCAAAGAAAGAGAGAGGGAGGAATGAAGGAAAGACACAGGAAGAAATGTGAATGTTCAGTTAGATCAGCCTCTGTTCTGAGAAGAGCAACACAGACATGCATGACCTACTGACCGTGAGCGAAAACAATTACTCTTCAGTAGGGGTGCCAGGACATATTTTCCCAAGTAGCTAGTGTAAATGATTTTTAACAGAGGTATTTATTGTAAATTGCCAAGCTCTCGGTTGCTAAAAGTAGACTAAAATTCAATTTATGTATGTGTGTAATGATGAGCTTATACATAATTCTTCAATAAAGAGGAACTCTTTGGAATAGAAGTTCTGCCAGACATTATCTAAACAAGCTTTCTTAGCTTACCAAGTATCCTAAAGGAAATTCTCTTATACCTCTTTTTGGTTGGCTAGGGAAATGTGTGCTGTGAAACCACTGTTCCTACTTCATTGCTTTGACTTCTTCCATGGCCTGAATAGGATGCCACAGTAGGTGTGGGGAAAGTCAGGGCTACCCATCTCCGTTCTCACTTTCGGGAGGTGTAGATTCTAATAAGCTCTCAGGGGAGCCTAGGGATTCTTTACCTGGTTGAATTGACAGTGGTCAGGGATGACCTTCATGGTGGTGAGGAGAAGTCATAGCTATAGTAAAGAATAAATTGTATCTGTTGCCTGTATACAATGTCATATAATTCTTCATGTTTTTCATAATTGTACATTTTAATCCACAGCCATATGGTATTTTTGTTAATAACAAAGGCTGTCAGTGAATACTGTTATCCTCTCTGCTTGATGACTTGTTTCACAATCTGTATTATCAGAATCACTTTAAACCAAAGCTTTTATATTTCCTGCACACATAGTCAAAATGATTAGTCCTGTTACATTTACATCTGCCCACTTGTAAGTTATAGCATAAAAATTGTAAAGCAAGTCCTAGTAGAATGTGATCCCAGTCTATCCTTTGAGGAAAGGGATAGGCGCTCAGTGTTTGCATTTTGATATGCAGAATTTACTTCACTTACAAAGGAACTATATAGATGCTACATACTTAATTAATTTGTACTTGTGCCAATCTTACTAATGTCACTTGATCATAGATGCATGTAGATGTGTTCATGTCAGATGCTCAGGTTGGTGGCATATTTTCTCCTTAGTGTCTTAACATGTATGAGCATGTGTTTGACTTGAGAGGCATTTCAGCAAAGCGTTGAAGAAAATGAGATCATGGACTGACATCTGCTTTGTGCCATAGACACTTTGGAACACAAGAAAGCATCTATCTTTTTAGCATATGTGCAGAATTTGTCCCCAAATAAGGATTTCTGAATCTCTTAATGCCAGTTGAGAAGAGTAAAATTTATGACTGTCCTGAAAAGCACTTTTGTTTTCACTTATTTATATTTTTTAGAACTCCTTTTTTAAAACCATATGTAATGAATTTAGCATTAGCATTACTTGGATGAGAGAAATAAGTAACAAAACTACATCTTAAACTCCAAAATGGAGTTGACATATTCTCATTTTTCCAAAGAATTTTTTCCACCTGGAAATAAGAGAGGACTAGGGGAAGCATCTGAGTTGAGCAGAAGAAAGAGGATCAGCCCTTTGTGATACACATTTTTCAATTAATAGTACAGTGTCTAGGTACAAGAATACTTCTTTAAACACAAACTATTGTTTCAGTACAATCTTAATTAGAAAGTAAAAGGTTTACATATTTTCTATCGCTGTTGGTTTTTTAAATTTGCTACCCTGCGTTCTGAAATAATATAAAAATGTTAATATGAAAAATACTTTTAATGTCTACCATCTCTTACATTTCACACAGTTCTTTTTATTTATTGTAAATAAAAGTAAACTTGGATAAATTTGAAAATAAACTTTTAATTATTGCAAACTGATTATCAATTTGTAAATTTACCCCTTGACTTAATGTACATTTTTAAATGTAGCCACTAAACTCTATATTAAACTGATTAGTTTCTCTTAGTAAACTTTTTAAATCTCATTTGAGTGCTGGGCAATTTATAATTCTCTACAAAGGTTTTTTTGTTTGTTTCTTAACAAGGTTGACTTTTTTTGCACATTTTTGATAATGTTTAATTTGTACACTGATTTATTACTCTGACCAATAATTGTTGAGTGTATGAGCATCACGAATGCGTGCATCAAACTACTGTCTATGTCTCTTGCTTTAACTTCTTTCAAATGTAGCCATCCGTTACTAAACTGCTATGACTGACATAAGTGGACCTTCTTGCTTTTACAAAGCATACTTATCTATGGTTCTATCTTTGCTGAAGAACTCAGGAGTTCAACATTACTTTCCAGTTTTACAATGTATTCTAAATCCATTGCTAAGTTGAAAGTATGCTTTGTATCTCTTATGTATCAGGGGATGTGTGTTTTGTGAAGATGTCCTTTTCTGTTTGTAGGCATATGTATATATCCCAGTAAATTCTTACTTTCATTTTATTTCTACATTTTTATGAACTTGTTTTATAAGGGTACTATTTAGTTAGGATAAATATATATAAAAGCTTTCTGAGAGATTATTATATGAATATATTTTCAGCTGGCTGATCAAAAATATTTTTTTAATTTTGTTTTTAATCATTTAAGATGTATTTGTATTTCTAGAATTGGACATAGGTTGTACTTAGAACTCAGTTAAAATACTCCTGAAAGGAAACTCATGGAATTATCTTTTGACAATTCTGATGAAAAAAAAAAATTAGGAAAAAAAGGCTTTACAAACTAGCAAAACACACTGTCCACTAACATGGACCTTTGAATTGTCAGAGCTGTGAAAAAAAGTGAGAAACTAAACTTTTAATTCAAGATTTTTTATATTTCCAGTTGCTATAGGCTTGTCCTATTGTTGTTTTTAAAATTTCCTTTATCTTCCCAAAAGATTTCAACTTTTTTTTTTAGTTTTTTCTTACTGAGCAAGGTCAGACTGGGCTAATAAACCAATACCTTGGCATATACGACTCTTGTAATTGACTATAAATTGGTTTAGAAATGTCAAAACCCCGTTGTTGTGTCTGTTACACTATACTGTGTGTTTTTAGGAACTGGCAGAAAAAGAATTGGAAGTTAGGTTTCCAATCTGACAGTGTTACTGTATTTAAAGAAAGCCTTGTTTTTGATTTGAGGTACCACGTAAAATTACTTGTGTTAGGAATAAAGTCCATTGTTGAAGTTGAATGTCACTTATTAAAAGGAAACCAGTGTGTTTAGCACCTATCAGAAGCCAGATACAGTGTGGTATGTGCCACATTTCATGCACATTTTGAGTTTGTGTTGTTCATTCAAAATTATACTTGTAAAAATGTATAAAATTCCTGAGTTTTATTTCTGTGTACTTTTTTTTTTGCTGTTAAATAGCTTTTTAAAAATTCTAATATAAAAAGAAACCATGTTTATATTTTGTTAGTGATCAATGACTTTGTTTATATGGAAATTTGTATATTGTTGGCACTCATCTTTTATTTAGATTTATCATGCATGAAGGCTTGCAACAATTAGCACAGTGAAAATTGCTTTTTCTTATATGTTCATTTTCTTTTTGAAAGATTGTGGTGCAAAGGCTTACTTTAAGTAACCTTCTGGATTATGGAACGAATATAAATGAATGGCACTTTGAGTGTTAATAAAGCTGATATTTATTTCCACTGTGATTGGTTTGTCTAGATATTTGTTCTTTGTTTTTTTTTGAGACAAGGTCTCATTATGTAGTTTAGGCTAGTCTTGAACTCACTATGTAGCCCAGGCTGGCTTTAAACTCACAGTGATCCTCCTGCCTCAGCTTCCCGAGTGCTGAGATTACAGGCATTCACCACCATGCCTGGCCAGATATTTTTTGTTTTACGTAGTATGTTCACAGATGTCTCCTCTTGCTTGAGTTGTCACTCTGTAGGAGACCAAGCACAAATGAACCTAGAAACACAGAAACTAAAGCAGATCTCTCCTGTATTTAATCTGACAATGTCCTACTCAACTTGTTCTAGTGTATCTTTGTATGGACATATCGATTACCTACTTAGAACTTAGTGCTATTAAACTTACTGTTGTACGTACTGAGTATAAGGAATGGTCTCATATGGTATTGGGCATAACATACATGAATAATTTAATATAGCGGCTATTTAATATAAATCAAAGCCTCAGAATCTTGTGTGTCTAGCAATTTTTAACATTTAAGAATAAATCCTTCTGGGTGTGGTGGTGCATACCTGTAATCCCAGCTCTTGGGAGGCTGAGCCAGGAGGATTGCCATGAGTTCAAGGCCAGCTTGGACTATATAGGGAGACCTTATAAAGCTAACTGTCCCATCATGGGATAACAGAGAGCCACAGACTAGTTGAGTTGTAACAGTTGTCTCAAAGTTCTGGAGTCTAGAAGTCGAGAAGCAAGGCATTGTTAGGGCTATACTCCCTCTGAAACTTGTGGGGGAAACAATCCTTGCCTTTTTCAACTTCTTCTAGGTCCAGGCATTTTGGTGTGTGGCAACATCCCTGTATTATTTTCTATCATTGCAGGTATTCTCCCTCTGTGACTGGCTGGTATGTGTTCGCCTTTTTATACAGGCACTATCATTGAATTAGGGCCCACCCTAATGACCTCATCACCTCTGTAGGGACCTTATTCCTGAATAAGGTTACTTTCTGAGGTACTAGGAGCTAGGATTTCAAAAGTACCTCGGGTTTGGCAGAACAGGTCAACCCATAGCAGTGTCTTCTGGCCCCTAACACTGCATATCCTTTCTGAATATGAAAAATATCCATCCCATCTCAGCATCCCCAAAGTCTTAGTCATTGAAGCATCAACTGTAAGTCCAATATTTCATCCGGACATAAGCTCAGATCTCATCTAAATCATCCCAATCAAGGTCAGACTTTGAGTATGATTCATCCTGAGCAACAAACTTTCCCCACCTGTGAAACCAGACACGGTATCTGCTTCCAAATCACAGTACTGGAACAGGTAGGGAATAGACATTCCCATCTGAAAGGGAGAAATGGGAAGGAAAAGGACTTAGAAGTTTAAAGCAAGTCTGAAACCTGGCAGGGCAAATAATACTGGGTTTCAAGGCTTGCGGCTAATTCTCATTGTTCCATGCTCTCTGTTCTCAGTGTCCACTGGGGCTGTGGCTCTCCTTACAGAACTGAGGAGGTGGCCCAAGGAGTCAGTGAACAGATTTACAGCCTGGACCCGCTCCTTCATACCTGTTGTGGAAGAAGCAATCCTGCCGGCCTCTGAGCTGCCTTGGGGTCGTTCTTCCCCTTTGTTGAAGGGTAACTCACAGGCAAAGTCTGACAAAGTTCCTTCATTTCATGCCATCTCTGTCCCCTTCAGTCCAATTTGTCAGGGTGTCTACTGAGATGGTTCATTGGATCTATAAAGCACATGTAATTTTTTGTAAATGGTTACCCGGTTATACATATTCTTACTGTTTTTTACACATTTTTACAGCCTGATCATTGGGCTGCCTTGAAATTTTCTCTACCAGATTAGTCACTGCCCTTAATATCAGTCTCCTGCAGAGTTTCAGGACATGAGCAAAATGTAGATACATTTTTCTGCCAGAACATAACACACATGGTCTGGAGTCCATCTGCCAGTGGAGTCCTTGTTCCCAATTGAAATGTCCTGAGCCTGGTCTTTACTGTCTACCTTCTTACTGGCATTCTGGTCTTCTAACCACCGACCAGAATCTCACATCAAGCTCAACTTACACCACTCCAGGGGTTCTCCACCCAGCATTTCCAAACCTTTCCAGACTTCTCCCTCAAAACAGTTCGAAAGACATCTAAACCACATGGTCAGGTATATGCACAGCAACAGCCCCACTTCCCTAGTACCAAAATCTATTTTATGGGTCGGGAATTTAGCTCAGTGGTTTCACTGCCTGCCTTGCAAGCTCAAGGACCCGAGTTCGATCCCAGGTACCTAAGAAAAAACATCTATTATAGTCATTTTCCTAGTTGTTGGATGCAATACCTGACACCCCCAACTTAAAGGAGAGGCTTATTTTGGCTCACATTTCAGGAGTTTCAGTCCCTGCGTGATTGGCTGGCTCCAGGTAGAAGTGACATTGTGAAAGGGTCTGGGCAGAGGGAAGTTGGTCATCTCATCATAGCCTGGAAGCAAGGAGTCAGGCCTCTGAGTCAGATCTAGCCAGGCCCCACCTTCTAACAGCGTAAGCCCCCCCCCCAATCCAATTACCATCCAGAAACTGCACTTATGTGTATGTGAGTCTTCTGGGGGCCATCTAAAACTATAACAATGTCCATATTTTAATAATCTCTGAGCCCATGAAGGCTTTTCTGGTCATGCACCTCAAAATTCTTGCCACCTCTACCCATTTCCCAGTTCCAAATGACCTCCACTTTCTTAGGTATTTGTAATAGCAGCACTGTACTTTCTGGAACAAAATCTGATGTTGGTCAATGTTCTGCAGAGAAATAAACTCCCAAGGGATAAGATATATCTCACTAAGAATGAGAAAGCAAGTATTGGGGTTTGAACCCAGAGTCACAGTGCTAGTGAGCTACAACCCCAGCCTTTTTTATTTTTGATTTTGAGACTAGGTCTTGCTAAGTTGCCCAGAGTAGTCTCAGATTTGCAATCCTCCTGCCTCAGCCTTCTGAGTAGCTGAGATTGTTAGGGAAGGAATCAGTAAGTGACACACAGAGAGGCAGCAAAATGGAAAATAACACATTTACTCAGCAATGAGGGTCAATCACACAGAAGCCGTTGCCTGGATTGGATGATGCACTGGGTTATACCTGCTCCTTTTATAGGGTTTTACAGCCTTGACTTCATTTGGGTGGTTACATTTCATTCTCACAGTTCAAATCATGGTCGCAGGATAGTCAACTTTCAACCCAGATATAATTCTTTGTAGCTAGGGGAGTTTACCTTTATGATTCGCCTAGTTATCTATCCTAGCCCATAGGAAGTGATGTTCAGAGTCAGGGCAGCAAATGTTAGCAATGGGTTCTTTCATCTTGACACTTTTGCGATCGTGTGGCTCCAGTCTCTTCAGAGCTCAAGACCTTGATGCACTCTGTTGTCTCAGGGTCAGGCAGAATGCCTCATTCAGCAATTAGTGCCCTCGGTGCCTGTTAGTTCTGAGCTAAACAAAGCAAAGTGCTGTTAGAGACAGAAGAAGCCACTTTGCATTGTAACACTTTATAGGTTTTTGCTATTTATAAAAGTTTTTCCTATCAGGATTACAGGTGTAATCAGCACATCCAGTGAGACAGATTTACATAAGGAATTGGTTCACAAAACTGTGGGAGCTAGAAAGGCAGGAATTTCAGAGAAAGTTGCACTCCAAAGACTGGAAATACAGGTAGGAATTCTGTGCTGCAGTCTGGAAGCACAATTTCTTCTTCCCTGGGAAACTTGGCTGTGTCTTAAGGCCTTCAATTGATGGGATGAGGCCCACTCATATTACTGAGGGCGATCTACTTCACAGTCTAATTGTAAATGTCAGTAACATCAAAAAACAGCTTTACACTGACATCTGGACTGGCATTTGAGCCAACAACTGGACCCCCTACAGAGTTGACACATAAAATTAACCACGGGGATGATCAAATAATCTGTTGCATACCCATACGACAAACTCTCACATCTTACTGACCGAAAGAAAAGATGTAAGACAATCCCATTTTTTTGTTTAAAATACTTAGAAAAAAATATTGGGAGGAGGTTATGTCACTCAAGTAGCAGAGTTATGAGAATATTTTATTTTTGCTTATTTATTTATTTTTGCTTTTAAATTTTTATGATAAATGCGGGTGTTTTTGCTTAGTACAAGATATTTTCTTAGTTATAAAAATGTTAGATTAGCCATTCCTCCTCATCAGTACTTTCAGTCCTGCTTCGCAAGTGCAAGGTCCCCAGTTTAATCCCTGATACCAAAAAAGAAAGAAAGGAAAAAAATACCTTCAGTTAAATTAGTCGGGTTTGGGAGCAAGAATTTAAAAGTTTATATAGGGCCAGAGATTTAGCTCAGTGCTTCTGCTGCCTGCCTCACAAGTGAAAGGTTCTAAGTTTGAGACCTGGTACAAAAAAAAAAAATGTTTATATTTAGCTTGGCATTTCCATTTCTCAGAATTGGCCTTAAGAAAACAATCCAAAATGGAGTGAAGGAGCCAACAATATTCATTGCAGAGCTGCTTAGAACTGGATAAACTAAGACTATCCCAATGACCTCAAATTAGGGTTTGCCTAAGTAAACTATATTTCCATAAATGGAATATTAAATGACTGTTAAACATTCATTTTAGTGAGTAATGAACAAAGCTTAGGATATACAATCATTCTATATCCAAGAAATATCTTCATGGTAGAAAAACATTCACAAAAGTGAATTTAAAAACCTATTCACAGGCAAAAGGTTGAAAGAAAATGAGACAAAACGTAGGTAGTGTCTGGGGAGGATTTCACTGTGTAGTTCAGGCTGGCCTTGAACTCACTATGTAGCCCAGACTGGCTTCACATTCACAGTGATCATCCTGCCTCAGCCTCCCAAGTGCTGGGATTTCAGGTGTGTGCCACATGCCAGGCACCATAAATATGTTGACCATCCCAAAATTAATGTTTTTAGGTTTCTGAACTTCAGACTCATATCCAGTATCTTTCTTGACACTTTATTTATCTAATAGGCTGCTTCTGTGGATTGAATTGCATCCTACCTAAAATTTATATATCAAAAGCATAGCCTAAGTGTGACTATTTGAAAATGAGACCTGTAAAGAACGATAAAGGTTGACAGTGGACATAAATGTAGGGCCTAAACCAACAGACTGGTGTTCTTATGAGAAAAGACACCATCTGAGGATGCAGCAGGAAAGTGGCTGTCTGTCAGCCAGGAAACTGGCCCTGTCCAGGAAAAAGTCCTGGGAGAACCTTATTATCGGGCTTCCCAGTGTCTGTTTAAGACAGTCTGTGATAATTCGTTACAGAAAACTGAGCAGACTAATACAGTCACTCACATTGCACATGTTCAAAACCATCCTCCAAAACTACCTTGCCTAAGGCACATTTTTGTAGTTGCTGAGGCTAAAAATCTTGGGAGTTATCTTTCATTCCTCTTTCTCACTTCCCATAATCAAATTAGTCAGCAAATCCGTCCATCCTTCCACCTCCAGAATACATTTGGAATGAAGCTATTTTTACCACTTTTACTTCTGCTTCCCTGGACTGCTGTACTAGCGGCTGGAGAACTTGTAAGTCTGTGTTGAACAACAGCAGTGTAGAGTAACCCTTTTATACGAAATCAGATGGTCTTTTTTTGTTTGTTTGTTTTTGTTTTTGGGTACCAGGCATCGAACCCAGGTCCTTGTGCTCGTGAGGCAGGCAGTGGAACCACTGAGCTAAATCACTGGCCCTTGATGTCGTTGCGGCCTGGGGATGTTGCTCTGAGAACCACTGCTCCTCATCACTCGGTCGTTCCATATGTGGGTCTCATGTTTGTGCTCTGCACCGGACACTGTCTCACTTTCTACAGGTCTTTGCTCAGATCACCGCACTTCAGAGAGGTATCCCAGGAACCCTCCATTTAGAATAGCACTGTCATTCTGGGCCGTTTTGTTCTCCCTTGGAGCACTAAACACCGAATTTATTTATGCCTATCTCGCTCCTTCAGAATGAAGCTCCAGGAAGGCAAAGATTTTAATATGTTCACTGTCCTACCGTAGCCACAAAAACGTCCCGCCTGCTGACACAGGAGATCAACAAATAAGCTGCTGGGGAGTGAGAGACTAACCCTAGCCAGGCGCTCCAACCCCTAGCGCACTCGCCCCGCCCCTTCCGTCCCGGATCCGGGGCGGGACTTCCGGTGCGGGGGGGTAGGTTCCCCTCCCCCACGCCGAGAGCAGGCTTCCGGGTGGGTGAGGTGTGCCATTTAACCTCTGCCATGGGCAAAAGAGACCGGGCGGACCGCGGTGAGAGGGCTCGCGGGCGCGCTGTGGCTTCCCTGTTCCCGCCGGCCCCCTTCCTTAGTGCTCTGTGTCAGAGCTGCCCGGGTTGATCCCCCTTGCAACCCAGTCCCGCAGGCCACTCCCTGGGCCGGGGGACGCGTTGATCTGGGCGCAGCCCTGCGAACCGGGCGGGGTGGGTGGCAGTTAAGGGACTTGATGCCTGTGGGATGCCGGTGGCTCTTACCTAGGAGTTCGTGGCGCAAGTGGAATGAGGTTGCCGCGAGTTGCCGCCGTGCAGTGCGGAGGGAACCTAGGCCCCAGCGGGGCTCAGTTCTGTGTCCTTATCTGCAGACAAGAAGAAGTCCAAGAAACGGCACTTTGAGTATGAGGAGGAAGATGAAGATGACGCCCCTGGGAACGACTCTCATGAGGCGGTGCCATCAGCGGCCGGGAAGCAGGTGGACGAGGCCGGCACCAAAGTGGATGAATATGGAGCCAAGGACTACAGGCTGCAGATGCCGCTGAAGGACGACCACTCCTCCCGGCCCCTCTGGGTGGTAAGCACGTCCTAAAGCCCGGAGCATCATCAGTTCAATCTCGAGCATTCTCATAGCCCTGAAAATTCGGGATTCTGCCCCGTGAAACCAGTTGGGAGAGACGGCTTTCACACACATGCCTTTGAACGGTTGTGCACACATGTGCTGGCTGGATCTGAGCTTTGTCCACCTCTGACCTTTCCTTTTATTCCCTGTGTAGCTCTTCCCACTGGGAAGAATTTTTATCTGCGTTTGTTATGTAGCAGTTTATTTCCTTATTTTTCAAATGAATGCAAGACATTTGCAACCTGCTTTTTGTTCAAGGTAAAATAATTAATGTTCTACACTCAGTTGTAGACAAAACGTAATTTGAGGATAGCCAGTAAGTTGGGGAAGGTTTTCCTGTAGAGATCAGGGGGAAACAGATGCTACTTTGGAAACATTTTTTTTTCTGTTTTTCCCTACTATTTGGTATCCGATTAAATAACAAAATCCACAGTTTACTGAAGAACTCGTTGCAAAAATATCTCTGATGTTGGGCCGCATATCCTTTCTTGATGATCAGGCGGGGAAGAGTCTGATAGTCCCTGTAGCTAATTAGCTTACGTGTTTGTTTTGTCCATTTGGTGTTTGGCAGGCTCCTGATGGCCACATCTTCCTGGAAGCCTTCTCTCCAGTTTACAAATACGCCCAGGACTTCCTGGTGGCTATTGCAGAGCCGGTGTGCCGACCAAGCCATGTGCACGAATACAAGCTAACTGCCTACTCCCTGTACGCAGCTGTCAGTGTGGGGCTGCAAACCAGTGACATCACTGAGTACCTCAGGAAGCTCAGCAAGACTGGAGTCCCTGATGGAATTCTTCAGTTTATTAAGGCAAGTGGGGACCAAGACTAGCAGTTGTGCTTGCCTTGGTCATGTGGTAATAGTGGGTATAGGGAGTACATGTTGTTATCCACTAACCGCTGTGAAAATGCGCCGTTCATATCTCCTGTGCGAAGCATGATCACTGATCACCCTGACTGCTGTGCCTCTGAATCCAGCATTGTGTCTGGTCCAGGGTGTTTATCTATTGAGCTGCTCCCAAACGTGGGTTCTAAAATGGTAGGAATACTAATTCAGACCCATTCCGGACTGGGTGATTTGGAAATACCACCCCAAATGGATGCTATTGTAGTCTGGGTCGTGTTCTCCCAAAATGCATGTGTCGAAACCCTAACCCTCAGTGTTAGTTGCTATATTTGGTAAGACTAAATGAGTCCCAAGTATGGGGCTAAGTGTCCTCACTGTAAGATACCAGAGAGCTGTGTCACTCTTCCTCGTGTCAGTACAAAGCAAGAAAGTAATGATCTACGAGCCAGGAATAGAGCTGTTACTGGAAAGCGAATCAACTGGTACCTTGATCACGAACTTTCTTTCGGCCTACAGGACTTGAGAAAATAAACATTGTTTAAACCACCCAGTCTATGTAGTGTCTTGTTATGGCAGCCTGAGCTGATCAGTCAAGGTGGTGAACTAAATCTAGGGTTGAATATCTGCATGAGAGCCATAGTCAGTGAGTTCATCAGGGAAAGTAAAAAAGAAAATTCAGAGGTTGAAGTAGAGAGGGTTTCATGAGAACTGTAGTTGAACATGGGTGAATGCTGCTCAGAAGAGATGGTCAGTGGCTTTTGTTGTCTTTGGCTGATACCATGGGAGTCTTGATACAGACCCCCAATCTGGAGTGGCTCAGGGGTGCCATGGGGCCCCAATCTCAGAGAAGCTGACCGAAGTCCTAAAGAGAGTTCTTTATTTTTGTGATGTGGAAGGGTGCCCAGGGAGGGCCCTGCTCCTGGAATGAGTCTGTCCCAGCATATAGGCAAGTCTGATCTTGGTTGGGAGCCGCCTGCAGGGATGTGGTGTTGGAGTCGGGCAGTGCAGTGTTACAGGGGCAGCAGGCAGACAGCAGCTCAGGGTTTGAGTGGCAGGTTTTTATAGCCACTACACAACCCCTTCTGAATTCCTTTCTGAGAATTTTGATAGGAACCTGGGAGGGTTTAAGATGTGTTCCTTGCCATTTGGAAAGCTTACATTGTAGTTGGGGAAATAGGAACATAGGTAGGAAGGCCAGCAGCCTTTGCATTTTATATATACTACAACTCATTTCTGAGCACACACTCTGCATGCTGTGTGCCGGCAGCTGCAGCACTACTGGTGTAGCAGGATGAACCTCTGGATTAGGATGGGGGCTATAGGCCTGGAGAGGAAAGGGAGATAAAACACATTCCTTAAACATTTTAAGCAATATTTATAAATTAAGTGTTGTACATGAAAATTAGGTAGAAGGAAAGTTTTGTTTTCAAAAAACAGAATCTGGCCAGGCATGGTGGCACGTTCCCAGCTCTCAGGAGGCTGGGGCAGGAGGATTGCTACAAGATTGAGCCTGAGCTACATAGTGAGTTCAAGGGCGATCTGAACTACATAGTGAGACCCTGTTTTAAGAAACAACAATACCAGGCTGGGGATTTAACTCCATGGTACTGCTGCCTGCCTTGCAAGCACAAGGTCCTAAGTTCAATCCTTGGTACAAACAAATAAACAAACAAAAAAATACTGCCTCCCCAATTGAAGCCAGTTGAAAAAGCTCCATGTAGGCAGACCCGTTTTAGGTTTGCACATTGGGTTTCCCTACAGTAAATGCAGCTCTTCACTTGGTTGGTGGGTGGTAAAATGTGACCAGTAGGAAGGTTTCTCAGTGAACTGCTCATTGCTGATTTTGCCTTTGGTATTGTGTGTCTACTTACAGCTGTGTACTGTCAGCTATGGGAAAGTCAAGCTGGTCCTGAAGCACAACCGGTAAGAGATTCCATAACAGGCTTATACTATGGTATTTTCAGCCTCTGTACGCCAGAGGGAGGAAAGGCTGTGGGCAGGAGCCCGTGTTTAGGGACCGTCTGTACTGCAGGAACATCTCACTCCCGTGAAGCGCAGATAAAAGGAACAGAGATGTGGTCCAAACAGGAAACTGGTTCCCCAGCCACTGTGTTCTCATTAGGCGCAGAACTGGGGCTCAGACACCTGCTGACTTGATTTCAAAGGAGGGATTTGCCCACAACTCTCATGTTCCTGTATGACCAACAGCTCGTAGCTCCAGTTTGACCCAGGGTATGGGAGAGCAAAAGGGTCGTGAGGCCTCCATTTCCAGACTACTGAATCAAATCAGTGGTAGAATCTTCTTGAAATGGTGTGCTGGTCAGTCGGCAGCCCCTTCCTCCCTCGTTTATAGGTACTTCGTTGAAAGCTCCCACCCTGACGTCATCCAGCGTCTTCTTCAAGACCCAGTGATCCGGGAGTGCCGCCTGAGGGGTGCGGAGGGGGAGACCACTGAGCTCATCACAGAGACCTTCACAAGCAGATCTGCTGTGCGTGGGCTCCCGGGTCACCTGGCGTGGGGTGGGGTGGGTACTTAGGGGCTGGCTTTCCTTTAGTCGGACGCGACCAACCAGCCGCCCACTGTTTTCTCCCTTGCTTGCACCTTGAGTTCTTGCTGGGTAACGAGAGTTCAGTGTGTGCGGGTCCAGAATCCTGCCTTTCTCCTACAGATATCTAAGACTGCAGAAGGCGGTGGGCCTTCCACTTCCCGGGTGACGGACCCACAGGGCAAACCTGACATTCCCATGGACCTGTTTGACTTTTATGAGCAAATGGACAAGGATGAGGAGGATGAAGAAGAGACACAGACGGTATCCTTTGAAGTCAAGCAGGTTAGTGACCGTGCCGTCCTGGTCCCTGCTTAAGTGGGCATCAGAGCGAGGCCTTTCCTGTGACACCTCCCTCTAGTCTCTGTCCTCCGTTCCTCTTGACCAGGTTAGAGGAGTCCTTGTCCTCAGGCCGGGGGGCTCATCTGCCCAACCTACTGAAGAGATTTAAGAAACTGCCTGTGGGTTCATTTTGGCTCTGATTCGAGCTCATTTTGAGTGTTGCTAGTTTAGGTTGCTTTTCTGTGCTTTTACCTAGTTGTCAGCAAGCAAGATCAGAAATTGCATTCGTCTAGACGAAATGCAGTTTTTTGACCCCAGGTAGAACACACGCTGTTTCTGAGCACACCTTGGAGCTAACAAGATTGTGCCGTGTCCTTCTTGCTGCCCGTCTCACCAGGAAATGATTGAGGAACTCCAGAAACGTTGCATCCACCTGGAATACCCCCTGTTGGCGGAGTATGACTTCCGGAATGATTCTGTGAACCCAGACATCAACATTGACCTGAAGCCCATGGCTGTCCTCAGGCCCTATCAGGAGAAGAGTCTGCGGAAGATGTTTGGGAACGGGCGTGCGCGCTCGGGCGTCATTGTCCTGCCTTGTGGTACGTGCAGCCCGAGTGAATGTTGTGGGCTGCTTGCTTTGTGTCATTTGCCAGCTGTCTCCTGCTCTCCCTCTGCCCTTTTCCCGAAATTACACCTCGCCAGTAAAGTCTATGATGAAGTAATTCTTGATTCATGCCTTTATGGGGTGTGTGTGTGTGTATGCGTGTCTGGCAGTGTACCCTGGGCTGGCCTTGAACTTGAAATCCTGCCTCATTGTCCTGAGTGCTGGGATCACATGGGTGTGCTGTTGAGCCTGACTTTGTCTTGACAAGTATTTATTGAGTGCTTGCTGTGTGAAGCCTCAGCCTAGGCCTGTGGTGACAAAACTAGGTCATGCATGCTACAGTGGGCTGTTTGTATCATTGAAAGCTCTAAAAGGTTTGCCATCGCTGGCCTAGGCCCTGTGGGCACAGGAGCTCATTCAGCTGGGGAGAGACCAGTGGTAAACAGATTGGCTAAGAAACCTGTTAAATCTTGCACAGTGGCAAAGGCCCTGAAAAATACTAGAGCAGGATGCAGTGTGAAACAGTAGTGCTGGCAGGGCTGCTGTTGTACATTGAGGGTTAGGTTCTCATTCTGTGAAATTGTTCCTGAATGGCTTACAATGATATACAAGACTGAGAAACACCCCCATGACACCTTTTTTTTTTTTTGGTACTGGGATCAAACTTAGGTCCTTGAGCTTGTGAGGCAAGCAGTGGAACCAAATCCACTGGCCCCCATGACACCTTTTCGACATTACTTGTAGTAATGTTAGGTCCTCACATGGGTTCTCAGCCTGTGACCACAACGTCCTCACCTGGGTGCCCCATCCTGGACAGAGTCTCCAAGGATGATGGGTCTCTGCCTTCAGCTTCTTGGTGTTTATTTTTTGGTTTTTTAAAAACAGGATCTTGCTATGTATTTCAGGATAGCCTTGAACTTACTGTGTAACCTAGGCTGGCTTCAAACTTGCTATGATCCTCCTGCCTCAGTTTCCCAAGTGCTGGAATGACATGTATTGTGCCATCACACCCAGCTTGTTTGTTTTTTAAGGTTGTATGGGTTATACTGATGGTAAAAGAGAGGATGATGAAGGGATTAGTTTGATTTTTTTTTTTTTTTTTTTTTTTTTT